CACACGAGGAGAGCTTCACACGAGGGCTGCCGCGACCGCAGTATACTAAGCTTTTTATTTTCGTCTAACAAAACTCAAATTGAATTCAGCTGGACACACTTTCCTGTTTATCACAACAAATGGCCAAGCAAAGTGCACGACACTGACAAGGTACGCGATACAGTACGAGACCAAACGCGATTTCAGCATGTCTCCACACTAAACAAAACATGCGTTTCCTCGCAACGACAACTGCGCTAAACACTGAGACAAGAAATAAATACACTTACGAGCTGCTTTTAACTTCCGCTGATTGACTGCTTCTCACAAAGAGTATTTCTTTACACTGTTTTGCTGGCGCTTGAACACACTTTCCTGTTTATTACAATAAATGGCCAAGCAAAGCGCATGGCACTGACAAGGTACTCGATACAGTACGAGACCAAACATTACAAAACATTACCTTTCATAAGCTTTCTTTTAAGAAATTGATACTTATTTCATCAAGGATGTTTTATATTAATAAAAAATTATGGTGAAGACGTTTATAATGGCATGAAAAACTCTTTTGAACTTTATATTAAAGGGGTCATATGATGCAATTTCAAGTTTTCCTTTCTCTTTGGAGTGTTACAAGCTGTTCGTGAATAGATAAGATCCCTAAAGTTGCAAAGACTAACGTCTCAAACCCAAAGAGATATTCTTTATAAAAGTTAAGAGTCAGCCACACCTACCTAAAACAGCTCGTTCTAACACGCCCCCACATGTCTACGTCACTATGTGGGAAGATTTGCATAACACCACCCAAATGTTCATGCAAAGAAAGAAGGCGTAACTTTTATTCTCATTGTAGAATTGTTGCCCCTGCCATGTCGTGAAGACGTTTGGCCTTCCAAAAGAGGACACGACTAGAAATCAGTGGTTAAGTTGTATTTACAACACTGTTCCAGAACACTTCAACCCAAATATTCAGATGTGTGCAGCACATTTTATGGAGGACTGTTTCCTGATCCTGGTAGAGTAGACTACAATGCCGGCTGTTCTGACTCACAGATTGTAAGTACGTTTTTTATATTTAAAGAATTTGCCACTGACGATTTAAATGCGAGTTTTGAGCAGTGTAGAGTAGTGCTTGTTGTTTGTCATTTCTCCGATCACAAATGCAGACATGGTTTTATGTTTACATGGCGCGATGCAACACAACGCGTAAAAAGACAGTATAAGTCATTATAATCCATAATTATGTCCTCCACTGGATGCAACAAATGCCTAGTTTATAATGGGTTTTCATGTTTTTGTCTTGTCGCTCCGGCTAGACAGGGCATCATCACAGTATGGTGAGGGGCGTAACATTTCCGTCACACGCTTGAGAATTCGGCCAATCATAACACACTGGATAGCTGGCCAATCACAGCACACCTTGCTTTTCAGACCGATGAGCTTTGTAAAAATCGACGTGTTTCAGAAAGGCGGGGTATAGAGGAGAAACAATGTACAGTATGTGGAAAATACAATTGTGAGAAATACAGCAGACATTGTGTGTAATGTTTTGCAAATCTGTGGAGGTGTTTTGCTCATTGGAGTAGAATTTTGCAAATTGTGTGGACATTTTTATTTTAGTGTGTAAACAATTGTAAAAAACTGTATTACAGTATTACCTTGCACAACACTACACACAATGTCTGCTTCACCCTTTTTGCAAAACATTACACACAGTGGTTTGTAAAACTCTACACACATTTTCACACCTTAGACACAGATAAGGATTGTGAGGTTACTTCCTTGTCATTACAAAGCCCCGGATTGCCAATGACCACACTAATGAACGAACTGGATAATCACATCCATCAGGTGTGGAAGCACACATGTGCTAATTTGAAAACGCAGCACTCAGGTGTGCTATAAAAGGCAGCAGGTGAGTTCACCTGTCTTCAACAAAAATGGAAGAAGAATAATGAGAGCTCAAAGAGGAGATGGAGGAGAAGGAGGTAGAGGAGGAGGCCCAGGTAGAGGAAGAGGTAGAGAAGGACTTGAAGAGTTGATAGAACCTGAACAAAGAAGACGAGGACCAAATTTGACTCAAGAAATCCGTGCAACACTTATTGACCGTGT